CCAAAAATGCTTAAACACACTAACCCTTTCTCTACAGATCTTAAAATCTAACACTATGTTTCTCTGGAATAAATGGTACTGATACAGTCTGGATTATTTAATAAATGGTTATGTATTTTAGAAACAACAGTTGTTCTTGTTTCAGAACAGAAACAGAAGTTTCTATATTTGACTTTCTTTCCCCAGAAAAAATAAAAAGTAGAAATCTGGGAGCACTATCAACACCGTGAAGATGGAAAGAAAACCAATGGAAACATTTTGCTTTTCCAAAGGGATAACATGGCATAGACACAGAAGAAAAAAATAAAATTAATTCTTTTTCTATAGCTTTCACAATATAGTCCACCGAAAAAAATGTCGCATGTTCTCTTTCAGGTATTACTCCCAAAATCTAAGGATACCTGTATCTGAGTGTTTTTCAAATCTCCTTCCTCCTCCTCAAGATTAGAATACAATAACCCAGGATCAACCAACCCTAACCAAAGTTCTTATCTTGTTCTTTTAAAAGTAAAAAAGCACTTTTTTCCCAGGAAGCCCAAATTACAAAGCCTATTACCCTTTTTTTAAAAAAAACAATGTGAACTGAATGTATAAAGCCAGTGAACAGATCTGGATACATCAATGACATGAAACCACAAACTTAGGCTCAATATTAAAACCTTAAAATGAGCCTGCCTCTCTCTTTTTTTTTTAAATGTAACACTCTGAAGTCTTTCTGTTGTCACAGCGTAGGAATTACTCTTTTCAACAGAAACCTCAGTTTTTCTCATGCACAACTGGGTGATTCCAGGTTGCTAGATGAAGTATAGAAACAGAAGGGTAATTCCTTTGAATAAATTCATCATCCCAAATATTCGTGACTTACTGCCATAAACACTTACCAGAAAGGTGTAAACTTGAAAAGGTACAAGAAAGTGCTAACCATAAATATTTGTGTAAAATATACATTCGCGCAACTGTAACTGTTGCAAATGCAGAAAAGTACACTGGAGCTTCATTAACTTCGCTGATTGGAAATCGTAATATTCTGGGAATCAAACAATAAAAAATTCAAAGATGCTATATCCCAAACTATGATAAATCATTTATTTTGACAAGTAAGGGTAGTTTAGTTTTAATTATTTATTATTATACTTCGTAGCGTATCAGAAAATATGCAGTGATTTATTGTGCAAAATGAAATCTTAATAAAACGAGTCCCTTCCCCAAACTACAGGATTATTAAATCTTCATGGAAATGCAAGGGTGAACTCTCGGGTTATTTTCGTTATCTAGCTGGCAGGTTAGTAAAGTGAAAATAAGCCATTCCTATTGCGTTTAGTTGTGTTTTGACTTCAGCCCTTTACAGACCCAAGCCGTACAAGCCATCCAGCCTTGGGGAGGAGGAGAGGATCAGAGAGGGCTCCCGGCCCCCCAGCTCCCGCTGCCCGCAGCTCTTCTGCTGCCTCGCAGATGATGCGGCTGCATCTCACTGCTAAAGCAAGCGGGGGCTATCCGCTTCAGACTTGACACCCCTGCTAAAGCTACCCGGAGCTAATGGCTCCTCTTGTGGCAGGCGTGGGTAGACCAGCCCTTTTGATGGACTATTCTTGTCCTTTTTGTACTGGTTTAGAGCTCTCAGGACTTCAAAGTGGAAGGGTAACTCCACACGCCGCCGCTGCCACCCACCTCCCAGCCAGAACCCACCTAACCCTAACAGCAGGTGTAAAATGGTGTGCTTAAATTACTCTCTCTGAGCTTTGTGAGTCTGAATGAGACTAGTCCCGCTAAAACCCCACTCAAGATTTCGGATTAACAGTGCTGAGTGCCTGGATTAGTGGCTGAGGAAGGGCTGTCATCCCAGCAGCCGTGCTGCCACCACATCCCTACCTCCAGCACCCGCCTCCAAACCCCGCCAGCCCAGCTTGCTCCGCTCAAGTCAGGGGTTTATTTCTCTCGTTGGTTAGGTTATGGTTTGGGGGAAAATTCAGTTTACACCTTGAGTTAATGATACAATGGAGAGAAACCGAACTTTGCGGTCACTACCTCTTTTTCTTTCTAAGCAGAAAATTGCAAAGCTCATTGGTATTTAAAGTAATTATTTCTATGAGCTAGTCATTTCTTCTGGGGATGATAGCACACAAACAAGCCCAGAAAGCTCCTGCATGAAACAATTTGAGGATCCAAATGAGGAAAAAATAGCGGGAGAAAAGAGGTGATGGAGTCTGAAGACTAAGAAGAATGGTCCATGCTTCACCCAAGAGGACACGAGGGTGGGAGTTACCACATCGACTCTGTCCCTGTGGCTTTCATCACCCAGAAGACGAATACCTGGATCAACGTCAATGCGTACGTCCACCCTCTTGTTACTGCAGAAGTGGAGAGGGAAATGGCACTCCCCACCTCTTAGGTGAATAAAACAAGGGAAATTCAGAAATGCCAGCTCTGGATTTAAAGAGAGTCATAACTGAGAAAGGGCTTTTCAAGAAATATCAGATATATACAAATTTACAGCAAATATTTTTTCACATTTTCAGTGGAAACATTCTGTAAATTTCTGCTCCGAATCCCAGCCGTTTGGGTCAATGTTAATTCCAGAGCAGCAAAACATCACATCAAAATCAGCAAGGCAGTCTATCCTCAAAGTAGGAGTCATGCTGAGCATTACTCTTTAAAGGTAGCCTTAATAATGGGGAATAAGTACTTACTGAAATGGTAAAAGGAAATGTTAATTTAACTATTAAATACATAATTATATTAAGTACTTGTTTCTGCAATTGTAACACTTCAGCCCGATGCAAACTCACTTTCTGGCCTGTGCAATGGATTTAATTTCTTCCAATTCTTTTTCTTCCCCGACTATAGAGGTAAAACACAAGAATTGCTGCTACAAAGATTACTTAGGTATAATTTATAAAGTGTTCTATAAAGGTAAAACATCACACAAGACAAGGACTACGGGCATGTTTCAGCAAATCAGCAGCTCGCTGCTCCTGCTCCTCCACCGGTGAACTTTCCCGTCCCTGTCTCCCCCAAGGCCACACGCTCCCCTCGTGTCCCTCATCTCGGCACTGATGCTTCTCCCATGTTTTGTTGAGCTGCCTCGATTTGTTCAATCCCCTGAAAACAAACCTGGCCCCTTCACCCCAAATCCAGGCTTTTTTGCAGTTATTGAGCTCAATGGACTCAACGAAGGGTCCCCCAAGTGCGAAAGCTGCTCTTAGGGAGGGGACAGGACCGCAGCAGCTGGGGGGGGGGAGATGGGAAAGGGGAGATGGAATCACCTCTTCTGGCTTTACAGCAGCTCAGATGAATTGCACACTGATGTTTACATACAGATTCAGAGTTGGCTGAATTACAACCAAACTAAGGCTTATGCACATAAGCAGTTGTAAATTTTGACTAATTTTAAAAACCCAATAAAGTAAAAAAAAAAAAAAAAAAAAAAATCCCACATTGCAGGTTTCTTCCAGTTAGATAGGAAAATATCTTTAGCATTTCTGTATAAATAGATATATTCCATTTTAGTATGGCAATGAGGACATCAGAAATACCTGTTCTTTAACTACAATCACTTTTCTACTCTGAGAAAAGAAAACAACTACTGGGTAAATTATTGCTACAACTTTGCAAAACGTACTGCCTTTGCAAAAATCACAAAACAACTCTACCAAAACATCTTTAACACCTACATAATTTCTAAAAAGTCTACAGATTTTCAAATAATTACTAGCACTTTCATAAATATTTAACGCTGTCTACAAAAGTTCTCTGACAGTACTAAAAATCCACTGTGCAAACCCCAATTTTCTTTTACTGACTAAATAATGAACCCAACAACTTAGAAATCTGCCTTCTGCTTCGTTAGTGTTTTTCCAATTTATAAAGAGCTCATGTAGAGGACAATATACTTGCTATACTTGTCAGCTGCACCAGGGGAGCGTGGGGGCTGAAAGCTGATTGTGCAAAAGGAAAAAAAGAAAAGAAACCAGCAGCTGGGGGGGCAGATTGCTGGAATGGGGGGTTAGTTTTCAACAGGATCAGTGACCTGGTCTGGCTCTCGGTGCGACTCCACAACCACTACTGCCAGCACGAGGCGTGCAGCAGAATCGCACGGCGCCACTGTTCTTCCTGGACCGAGCTGCTCTTAGGTAAGCTTCAACTGGATTATAAACCCATAACCTGAGAGACTAAAAATCTGTAATCTCTGATCTCACCTGACAGAGGGATTAATGAAGCTCACTGATAAGCAAATGCCTGGTTGAGGTTCCCTCTCTGAAACCATCACCTGTTGCCTATGTCACCTGTGAATCCTTCAGCACCTCAAACAGTCACTCAAAGTACAGACTGGACCAGAAGGGCACTTCGCTTAGGTGCTGGGTTTGGGGTTTTTGTAAAGCTTTTTATTTTAAAAAGTTCCATATGATTGCGCCACTTTCTCGGGAGCATGTGCACTGGGAGGGAACGCAGAGAGACATTTAACAGTCTACCAAATTAGCATCTGCAGGAACAAATTACAATTTCTTTGTTCTCCGGCACGGCACAGTCTGATCCAACCCGTGCTAAAAATTAATACACCAATAAAACCTTGCAGAAAAGGAATGAAAAAGAAAAGCCCAGAGAAGTCCAAAAAAGCTGGAGCTGCGGAAGCAGATCAGGCCTCCTTAGGTCAGGCTGCTGGCAGAGGCCCTTTAATTTGGGTGAACCAGTTCCCTGCATGTCTGAGTAGGGGCCAACACGATGGCCTTAGAAACATAAACCCAAGAACAACTACAGTGGGAAACTGAAGTTGAAATTATTAGAAGGTAAATATATGACAAGCACTACTCTACTGTGCATACAATCCTTACAGAGTATCCCTAAAGAGTTGTATTTTTCTGTAAATTTGCATATTTTCTTACTCTACACAGTTATGACTGCTAAGTGCATATAAAAGAACTGTCATGAAATCCAAAAGAGAAGAAAAAAAAAAAATCAAAGTCACACTTAGAATTTTATGAGGGACTCATTTAAAGTCCTACCTGATTTGCTCTTTCAAGGTCTGTCATGATCATCTCGATTTCATCAGCCCTGGGAGAACAAGAGAGCAGAAGTACTGTTATCACATGAAGAATGCCTGCTATATGAGTTGATGCACAGTACAATTGCAACATTCATACAAACAATACCAATTTTCAATATTTTTTTGAAAGGACACAGTAAGGCTGATCAGCTAATCTTTTGACTGGTGAAATCCTCTTGGGTTTCAGCTCTGTGGACTGGTTTGCAAGTCTCCTCCAATTCCTTCGCCTGTTCCCTTTTTGCAATGAAATAAGTGTATCGATATCCGAGTATATTCATTAGATCTTTGAACATCTTACTCCCCGACCTTCTGCAGAAGGGCAGTGTCATCTCTCCTATGTGTAAAGGTGCTTCACAACTGATAATCACGGAGAAGTCAAAGACTACAGTACTTCAGTCAACTACTTGCATGCACCTACACAAAAGTAGCCTGTTACTCTTCTGTTTCAATGTGCCTAGAAGTTTGGTTCTAAATTTCGCTAAAAAAAAAAAAAAAAACCATGAGGTCAAAGAGACAGAGAAATTTATTTCATGTTATGCAGAAAAGAGGTTTTTGACACAAATTTATGAAACTCTAAATTTAGCCTCAGGTTCTTAATGCACTGTACAAAGGTGAGCAGGAAAGTCAAAGGGTTGAAAGCTATACACGTAGCCAAGGAAAAACAGAACCTTCACATATGTGTGTTAGGTGGCAGCTACCAGCCCTGACCTTTTCAAAAACCCAGCATCACACAAATGGATCCAATCCTTAAGCAATCTTTTTTCATCATCATGCTGAATCACAGGCAAATATTTCACACTCGGGCTCTCACTGAGAAAGGTACCAGGAAAAGGGCTAGAGACCTAAAAGTATCTTCTGTATCAATATAATAAGCCATATTACTTCTCCCCAGACATTCTGCTTGTCTTATATCTCTGGACCATATGGAAGCAATAAACACTATCCTCCTTCTCCTATGAAGAGCAGCTTTAACCAACAAGTCCTTTTGCAATCTGCCAACACCATAATGTCTGTTTTTTGTTTTTAATCTGTAGCAGATCATTATCAGGAAAAGCTGTGAAATACTGGAATTCCCTTCCTCTGCTGATGCAGAAAAGTCAGGGTTTGTTTTTCTGCTGATCCCATGGAAGATCCATTTTTCTATGCAGGTGTTTGCTGGGAACGATGGTTAATTGAAGTACATCAGGGTACCGGCACACTCGACACTGGATCATTACACTGAATATTGACTTACTCTTCAACAGCATTTTAGGTTTCTGCGCGCACTCTTAGGGAAATGCACTAAAAGATCATAATAAGTAAATGTGTATGTATATAAATTAATGGAAAATTATTTTTAATTACAGCCTTTAATGTTGTCGGGGCAACATGAATTGCCTTCTGAAAAAATCTTTTGGACAATAATGGAAAACAGATTAACATGTGTTTTCTTGTGCAGGAGAAGCTAATGTGCTCTTACTTTGGAAAGAAATCATGCACACGATGTTTTGAATTAATAATAAATAATAGACATTAGTTACTGAATTGAACAATCACTCCTCGGGCAAATAAGGACTCCAAGTGTGCAGGGAGTAGCCAGAAGACTACCTGCACAGGTTAACGTAAGCCTACAATAACACTTTCGACTTCTTTAGCCTCTGTAGCTGTCAAACATCTTTTGGTTTAGGCTCCAGCCCCAAAATACTTGTTAACCCACTTACGGAAATTACAATATTTCACATGGAAAAGATGTTCCTAAGACCATGCAAGTGACCCCATTATGTATCTGTAACAGAGATAAGAGGGAAGAAAGCATCCTAATGCACTCAAAAAAACATTAAAAATGTTTCCCAGCATTTTACAAATATTTTTAGCCAGGATAGTTTGAGGATCCTCTTTATATAAGCTTATGCATTCAGGCTGAATTTATGTGTGAATGCCTCAGGTTATATGGAGCCAGTAAACGATGTCTGGATTATGTCACATGCCTCCCAGATCAGAGCTGGGAATGTCCCATCCCAACACGCAGGCTACAGCTTAAGCAAATCCAGTTTCCGCTCGCTTCTCTGTAGGGTTTGGAGAACAATAAAATCACTGCCTTTCCTCCCAAACAGAGGGTGCCAGGTATCAGCCAAAGGTTTGAAAAACCGCAGAACCTGAGAAGAGTGAAGGACTCAGAAGCACAAAACTGTCAGACCGGGAGAGGAAGAGCGCTCTGCGTTGGGTGCAGAAGGGTTGTTTTTCAGCTCAGCCAAGGGAAGTTTGGGGTTTTTGTTTTTTGGTTTTTTTTTTAAAGAAAAGAAGATAACTCTGATGCAGAAGAGAAAAGCAGGAAGGGGCAGAAGCGTGAGGGGGGCTGGACCCATCAAAGGACCCCCAGCCACCTCTAAAGGTCACTGAGGCAAGTGAAGGCAGCCAAGGGGAGGGAAATGAATGAAGGCAGCAGAGCGAGAGCAGGAACAGAGGGATGGATGTCTGAGGCCAAAGGACTAAGGGGAGATGGGACCAAGAGCGGTAGGAGCACCCTGGGCCAGCGGAGAGGTGTGTGGCTGCCAGTAAAACAGGCTGAAACACAGGACGGTGCCTGAAAACCAAGGTGGAAGGACTCAGGACAATCCTGTATATAAAATGGACAAAAGTATTAATACCGATATTTGTGTGCCATTTCGGCTGGGGTCAGGACTTAAGAGCTCTACTACAGCACTAGTATACGCAACCAATTAAAAAAAAAAGCGACGAGGATATAGAACGCCATAAAAATGACATTTCTGCCCTTCAGCGCGCACAGATAATTCCGACTGAATCCAGTAGAAGTGTCAAACTGTAGCCAAGGGCAAAATTGTCCCTTTGTCCTTGTATCCAGACACACCAGCTGACTGATCCTGAACTCCCCTTTCTCTCGTACGTTTTTTCTACCTAGCTTTTCTGCACACAATCTGTCTCTGCACACCTAATAAAAGGATTCAACATCTCCACAAAAATTCAAGCAAAACATCTCCAGCCTAGCAGTTTGTACACCAATGAAGGTTAATGCTGCAACCATAAATGTTATCTTTAAGTATAGTAATGAATTAAATTATTCTATATTCTTTCCTAGCACAAGTGTCAACAGCATCCAGAAGAATCTTCAAAAGGAATTCGGTCTTTTCATTTTTAAAAGCTCAACTACCACATCAGTAGCTAGCACTCAGCAGTCTAAAATCACTTATTTGAGAAAGTCTCTAATAGCTACATTCACTGTTTGCTCAGCAGAAGTATTTATTATAAAATAAATTACAGTTCTCACCTTTTATGCACTCACAGAAACAACTTGCATTGATTTATTGTTTACAAAGCAACTTGTCGAATTCAAATCTGCAAGGTACAAGAAAACTCCATTTTGGCTCACTGAATTAGTCCCACACGGGTCATTTTTGATGTATCCACCATCTGCCACATTTGCTCATTTTCAGACCTTCCTATTTCAATATTTCACTTTATTTCAACGGAACCACTTGAGAGGCAAAATATCACCCAGCTCAACGCTGCCAGCATCTTGGCCTGCAGGTTTTCACTGAAAATCTGGTTGGAACCTTGACGGGAACAATGGCCAAGTTTAGCAAATCTGTGGTTACACTGACCCTAAATTTCTGAGCAAAGTCATTCCATGTGAACTGAACTCATTCATACAGGACACAGATCTGATGATTTCACTTTTATCTTTCTTCGTTGCTGAAGCAACACGCGTCTCGGCTTCTCGTGAGTGCCTGGATTCCCCCATCAGCCCAAGAGCTGAAGGCAAGGAGAAAAACCCCAAAGTTCTGTCTTTCTTCAGACAGATACAGAGAATGAGGGTAACTAGTAACAAGAAAACCTTTTGCTAAAATATACTGTTATTTACGGTGTTTTACAGCAGATTTCAACATTGCAACCCAACTTCATTCAGCGTTTGTCAAGGGTGATACTTCACATTAAAAGAGATCATGAGAAAAAGATTGGGTAAAAGCTGTTTTCAGGAACAAATATTATCTACCCTGTGTTTTCTCATTCCACAGATACTGTAATCATTTATCTGATCTAATTCCTTATAATCTCTGTGTTAGAGGAAAAGCAATCATGTAAACAAGACAGTTCTTCAGTCTGTATTACAGATAGCTTGTTCTAAGTTTCAACACTTTCAGGCTAAGGAATTTCGGAAATCAAATTTTAAGCCCAAGCATTTGGAGCCTCAGAATAAGCATCACCAAGTAAAAAGAATCTGAACTGTTCTAACAGCATGACCATGAAATATTCTATTATTTCTTCTCTTGCTACTATGTTGAACTGAAAAACAAAACGCATTAAAAGCTATAGATTTTACATGGTATAAGCTTTTACCAGTCATGAAAGAGCCGTCAAAGCTAACATGCTATCTAAAAAACACAACTTAAGGAGTTTAAAAAAAAACAACAACAAAACACAAACCCACTTTTTAATTCAATTGCTTATGGGAAATAAAACCCGCAGAAAGGCTCAATTTTCTTTTTAAGATCAAGATAACCGATTAGGTTTGAACAGTGTAACAAGCAAGCAAATTCAAGAATTGGTAACATGGAAACAGCTCAGTTCTTTTTCTAAATAAAATTAAATCAGATGAAAACCCGAAACGCCATGAAGCTATTTACTTGCAAGCAAGAAGAATCTGGACTTTATGATTAAAATCCAGTTGATCCAACTCCTTCATTTAGATACTAGCTTAAAGAGGCAGAAACAATTCCTTTTTTATTAACATGACAAGCGAATGGTTTGCCAAATCTTGTGGCTACAGCCCCCTAAACATTCAAACTTACTGAACCTTGAAGGAAACTGCTGTTGGATTCTTTATACATGGAAGAACTGAAAAATACAGATGACACTTTTGAAATTGCAGTCAGTGGCGTGGCCAAGAAACTTCACTAGCAGGGCAGATTAATATTTTGGTTTGGCAAAAAACAAACAACATTTTTTCCCACACATTTGTTTTCTTTAAAAACATGTATAAGTTTACTGGTCAGAGCAAACGGTATATGGA